TTGTTTATAATAAACTCGTGTTTTTGTTTAATCAAAATCTATGTTTTTGGTCAAAGAAGAACTCGTGTTTTTTTTTTTGTGAACTTTTATTTTAAATAATTTTTACAAAAGTTATCTAGTTTTTGTTATTTATAAAGTTTGAGAGCTTACATTGTTATTTACAAAGAGCGAAAGTTTTCATTGTTATTTAATCAAAATATGTGTCTTTATTACAATTTTTTAATTTTCCTCTACATCTGCTTGCATCAAACTCCAAGTTTTTCCCTAAACTCATAGTTTTTTCATTTCCTCTCCTTTTGTTCATTTCCTCTCTTTGTCTACATCTGGATACATCAATTTTTTCTTACGTTTCTTCTTTAGTCTCTCTTGTGTTGCCGCTGCCAGCCTCGGGTATGAGATTTTGTTCTCATTTCACACACATTTGTCTTTAATTTTCCTCCCATTTTTTTGTTGTTGTTTTTATCATGAATTCCTCTCTTTTTGTTCCTTAGCACCCAAACAATCAGTCCTAACCCTACAATAAATAATAGTAATAATAATAATAATAATAATAATAATAGTAATAATAATAATAATAATAATAGTAATAATAATTGTTAAAAATATGTATCCTTACTATACGATAAAATATATGTATTCGCATTATCTCACGGAAACGCTACAATAGTCAATGTTTTTATTTTATTTATTTTGTGAAAAATCAATGTTTTATTTACAATCTAATTAACACAAGAAAAACTACCAAAGATTTTTAAAACAAGATACGTCTCTGTTTTTAAAAAAAAAAACTACCTAAGATTTTCAAAAGTAATTCATAAAGGAAAACCATTCTAAAAAATGTACAAATCTACGTTGAACAAAATAGCACACTATTCACTTCGGTCTTCTCTAAAATTTTCTTATTCGTGTTTTTCCCGGTTTTATGGTTTATTTTGGTCATTGTTTTGTGTCTTACATCGAGTCAAAGTGTGATTTTTTATTATTTTTTTTCTTGTCTATCGACTATATCGTGCCTTGTCCAAGTTAAAAGTCTTTTTGGCAAGCTTTTGGATGAGATTTGGAGCCAAAATACGTGAAACGAATAAGGAATACAAACTCATGTTTTTGTGTTATAACTGCATTAACTAATAGTACTAATCCCTGGAGATTTACTAACACGGTGGTCTTTCATAAGTTCAAGGGTCTTCTCTACGTCACCCCAACGATTAACTCCGGCATAAATATTGAAACAAAAGGACGTAATTTCCACTCCTTTCCATTTCTAACCCCAACAAATGTTTTAGCGCAATTTCACCCCTCTCCAAATCATTGTGGATTTGAGCTGACCCAAGAAACGATCTCCACAATCATTGTGGCATCTTCTTGATGCATTCTTTTCTTCAGCTTCTTCCAACCGCCCGGATCGACCCAGTAGATCAACTAAACACCCGTAATGCTCAACTTTAGGCTCGATCCCATAAACCGCTTTCATCGAGTGGAAGATCTGAAGACCATCCTCGACTAAACCCGAGTGCGAACACGCTGATATTGTCACCACAAAAGTCGCTTCGTCCGGGATCAATCCTTGAGAGATCAAGCTCTTGTACAATTTAATAGCTTTTTGGCTAAACCCGTGAACTGTTAAACCTCGAATCATGGCATTATAACAAGATGCGTCTCTGTTACGCATTTCGTCGAACATCAGGGCTTTGGATTGTCGATAGTATAGAGAAGCCGCTGAAAATTTATTGTGATAATTCCGCAGTTGTCTTCTTTTCAAAGAATGACAAGTACTCGAAAGGTGCTAAGAACATGGAGTTAAAGTACATGTCTGTCAAAGAAGAAGTACAGAAACATAGAGTGTCCTTTGAGCACATAAAAACAGATATCATGGTTGCAGATCCGTTAACGAAAGGATTACCATCCAAGATGTTCATTCGCCATATAGAGCGTATATGTATTATAGATAAGACCTTGCTGTATTAATTATGGTTTGCTAATTATGTGTGTGACACTACGAATTCACTTAAAGTTATATTTCTGTTTTATTAAGTATGTTATCATTAAAGTATGTAGATGTACTTAAGGTTCATAGATAACATATGGTTAGGTTGAGAATTAAAATTCTTCTCAATATAAGGAAAACTATCTACATAGAATTAGGATTGATTTGTGATATATGGAAGGAATCATGTCGTTCAATGACGTGTGACCGCCATGATTCGATCAGTTTTGATTTTATTATGATAGTTAAAAGTCAAGTGAACTTGATATAAAAGCGCACATTATAGTTATTAAACCATTAAATCGACACAAAGGTCAAGTGGGAGAATATAAGAATATTTATATTCTTATGTGACCTATGTGTCTTTCGGTTTAATTGTAAAGATCAAGTTCATATTAAAGTTTAAAATTTTAATATAAAAAAATATTGTGATGGATCGATTTCGATTAAAGACATTAGAATCTAGGTGTATTGATAACCCTCCTCCTTTATCTTTATAAGTATTCTTCTTATATGATTATGTATATATATATATATAAAGTATATATATATAGTTAATAAAAAGACATAACTATATGAAAAGGTGTCATGAAGATACATGACTGTTGGCATGTACGTGTGTGTTTATAAGTGATGAAAAACATCACAATTAAGACATATAATAAAAGACACACACACAAATAAATCTGTACTCTGAGTAAAGAAAAAAAGGAAGAAGAAGGTTTTGGATTCCTTTATCCATCAAAAGGAATCATAAGGATATGAAGATCAAAGGGGTGGAGAAAATCAAATTGAACATTTTCATAAGGTCAATAAGCATGGATTAAGGTTAGTGGTTCTTATTCTATAAGAAATTGTTTGTGGTTGGATTAAACTAAATCTAGATAATCCTGGAAATTAGATTTCATAAATGAAATCATAAAAGTAATTTACATGGAAATATTAAAAATTGGCCCCAAATATATTTATGAATCTTTTGGCCCCATCCAATGCTTGATCAGCCTGTGGTCAAGCGCGGCTCTGCACCAGAGATGTGGAGTACCTCGATCGAGTAAATAGTACCACTCTGGCTAATCGCGTTGCTTCATTTTCGGGTAGCCAATTCAGCTGGGACAAGAAAATCGTCAGGGCTCAGGTAACACTTTTCTATGCTCTGAACCAACTAAATCAGTTCGTTTTTGTAAGTTTTTATTAATGCTGAATTGAAAAGAAAAAAAGAACTTGCATTACCGGATTATCTTATTTTACTTAGTTGATGTTATTTACATTTTCTCTGGATTGATTACATGTTTTTGTAGTTGTTGTTGTTGACTCGGTTGATGCTGTTTCTTAGCCTTTATCATCAACAAATCGAAAATGTCATGTGCTCTTATTTTCTTAGCTTCAGCAACAGAATGAGAGGTAAGTAGTTAGTATAACATTGATTATCTATATTTCTGTTCAGAATATAATTATCGAATGATCACATCAAACATAACTATCTTTTTTTTCATATGTAATATATATACCTTTTCAAAAATCAATATTTCTTAACAGAAAAATCAACATGTACATATTTATCTAAATCACAAATACATATTTTAGATTGATGAACACCATAATCAAATTAGGGTTTTCATGAACATGTCAAAATATCAATTTCAACACAAACAAAATTTCCATATGCAATTTGATCTTACAATACCATTTTCTGTATGCTATTAAGCTCATAG